GTGGCTCAAAAGCTCGCGGGCTTTAAAATGCGTAAGGCTCAAACTAAAAAAGCTTGAAATTGAACTCTCTAGGAATTGATGCTCTCCCAAAAATGGCTCAAAAGCTCGCAGAGTTAAATTTGCGAGGCTCAAACTAAAAAAGCTTAAAATTGAACCCTCTAGGAATTGATGCTCTCCAAAAAATGGCTCAAAAGCTCGCAGCGTTAAATTTGTGTGACTCAAACTAAAAAAGCTCAGAAATCAACTCTCTACGAAATTAATCACTCCCAAAGATGGCTCAAAAGCACGATGCACAGATGCGAGGATCAAAGACGAAAAATTGAGCTTTTGAGCCAGTTTTGGGAGAGTTAAATTCGGCATGGAGCTTAATTTCAATGTTTTTTAGTTTGAGCCTTGCAAAATTAAACCTGCGAGCTTTTGAGCTATTTTCGGGGATTCACAATTTCGTAGAGGTTTTAAATTTGAGCTTTTTTAGTTTGAGCCTTACGCATTTTAAAGCCCGCGAGCTTTTGAGCCACTTTTGGAAGAGCATCAATTCCTAGAGAGTTTAATTTTTAGCTTTTTTAGTTTGAGCCTCGCATATTTTAACTCTGCGAGCTTTTGAGCCATTTTTGGGAGGGCATCAATTCCTAGAGAGTTCAATTTTAAGTTTTTTTAGTTTGAGCCTCACGCATTTTAAGGCCGCGAGCTTTTGAGCCACTTTTGGATGAGCTTCACTTCGTAGAGAGTTAATTTTGAGCTTTTTTAGTTTGAGCTACGCAATTTTTAACGCTGCGAGCTTTTGAGCCATTTTTGGGAGAGCATCAATTCCTAGAGAGTTTAATTTTAAGCTTTTTTAGTTTGAGCCTCGCAATTTTTAACCCTGCGAGATTTTGAGCCATTTTTGGGAGAGCTTAATTCTGCAGAGAGTTAATTTTTGAGCTTTTTTAGTTTGAGCCACGCAAAATTAAACTCTGCGAGCTTTTGAGCCATTTTTGGGAGGGATTAATACCAAAAAATCGATATTTTCATGCTTTCGACCTTTTAGCTATTTCTGTGGGTTGTAAAAGATTTATTGATTGGAGACCTGCGAACCTTTTTAAGGTGATCGCCGTGGCATGCAAGCTTAAGAGCTTTTCATGGTTTTTGCGGCCACTCAGGAATCTGTAAATACGAATGCTGTGAGGCCCATTTAGATTGGCTGCCATCATTGATTTAAATGACCTGTAACAGCCGCGAGCAACATCTGGAATCTTCTTGTGAAACCCCCTGAGACCCTCACGACAGGCCCCCGGAAACGGAGTAACAAAACCCCACGAGAGACGCCCCGAATCGATCTAAAAACCTCACGAACCGTTCCGTGCGACGTCCGGAATCGGAATGAGAGAAGCCGTGAGAGACCAACGAATTTATATCGAAATAGTAGCGGCGTTTTCCGCCAGGTGGTACCAGAAGATGGATTACCTCTGTTCTACCCTCTTGCATATAGTTTTCCTTGTCGGTCCAAGTGCTGGGTTATTTCGCCACCTATGTGGAAGGCACTGAAACTTCTAGCCAAATAGTCGCACTCCGTCTCCGCTAGGTGGTACCACTAGTCATGACAAGGAAAAAGAAGGAAACTTTCATGGGAGTGAGGAGGACAAATCTGGTTGATTGGCTGCGCCACCTAGTGGATTGAAACTTCTATTATTTGACGAGAAGTTTCAACCATTCGTTCATAGGTGGCGGTAACAATTTTCGCTACCCGTCTCCACCTGGCGGAGACAAGCTGATACTATTTGTCGAGACGTTTCAGCCGTACGTTCATAGGTGGCGCTAACAATCTACGCTATCAGTCTCCATCTGGCGGAGATAAGCTGATACTATTTGGCTAGAAGTTTCAGCGTTTTCTTTGTAGGTGTCGCGCCAAGATGCTATCTCCGTCCTTCTCGCACCCATGGTTCTTTCCTTGTCTTCCATATGGGTTTTCAGGAAATACCTTCAGAACGTTGACCGCTAGATGGCGAAGCTGTCGCTGTCTACCAAAATTCTCTGTCCTTGTCCTACCCATTACTTAGGCAAGGAAAAGCTTCGATTGCGCATTCTAGAAGTCAACATTGCACTGATAATTTGCACAATATTTTACAAAATAAACAGCATGAATTACTCTGTATGGATATTATTATATACATATTTATTAGAAGTATTCAGTGTGAATGACTCTCCCAATGACGAATAGATTTCATAGCTAATGAATTGATGATCTTTGATCATTAGCATATTATTTGCACTTTAATAGCGAAAAAATTCTACACGCAGCAGTGGCTGTAGCGACGCTATGAGTGTATTTATCTAATGGTGGTCCATTCGTTGAGAACGCAACAGGTTCCACTTGTATGGCTACTGGGAGGACCCAATCACGCTCCTTCCCGCCATTTTTGCTGCTGTTCTTGGCGTAGTGTTTGACGCGTTCTTGTGATCGTTTTTTCCATGTTGTTGCATTTATTTTGTGAGGCCGCGTGTGTTATTTAAATGGATTTCTAGGTAACATATTCCATTCAGTCTACTGATGAAATATGCACAAGCGATAAAAGTAGATTTCGCGTCGAAAACTGTGATTGACGTTTCACGTGTCACCGAAACATAAGCTTCATCCGAGGAAAGCGAGCGGTATCTCGTACACTGATCGAACGTTTTCGGTTTCTCGTGAACAATGAATACTCCAACAAGGAGAGACTTTCTCCGAAGACCCGAAGGAACCCGTCGGAGGTCTTCTAGGCAAGCTTTAGCAGTGATTCCTGTCAACAATTCGTCGCCTGGTGTGTTTCCGAGAGTCTCTGTGTCATCGACGCGTCCCCTGTTTGTTTTCTATAGTTTCACTTGGCGTGTTCTAGGGGAGACCGTTTCAACCGAAGTGAATGCAATGGACAACTTTTTAAATAGCCGGCACGGCTCTGATTCTTGGAGTCCTGCGCCTAGTCCTGACGAATTGGTTATACAGAAGCGAGGACGTCGTCGTAAAACTATAGTCTGGTCACCTGATCTTGATACGTGTAAACGAAACAGCCTCTTCAAGTAAGCTTTTTTAAATAGATATCACCGATGATCTTCTTAAAGGAATTGTACAGAGAGCAGTCTAAGTTAATCGATCGCAGTTTGAGTTCCAGGGATCGTACTCCTGTTAAAAGTCCGACGAAAACAACCAGCATGCTATTAAGAAGTACACCCAGAAAGAGGCTCTCTTTGGGTAACCCCAATGAGACTCAATTCGCGACACCGGAGAAAAAGAAAAAGTCACAATTGTCCTCGGCCAACAGTAATTCGCTGACACAATTCAATGGGAACTTGGCGAGCGGTTTGAGAGGCCTTAGTCGGGATCAGTTAGTGGCACTGATAATGGACGTGGTTGCTATGCAAGAAGAAAGCGGTCTACCCGAGGGAGAAAAATTACATAATATTCTGTTAAAGAAAATGCCTATAGCCGATGTGCAACCATTAGTCGATACTTTAAATAGTTTGAAACAAAACATTCATATCAGCTTGATGTCGTCTAAACTGGATGACTCTTCTAATAATAATACTCACTTTCATTTAGATGTTTTTCAGGTGCAGTTTTTATTCTATACACAGTCCCCTTTCTTTCTGTTTAATTATATCCTCGTTGGTTTCAAACCATTCTTCTTTAATTCATTACTAACGATGACTTGGTTTTGCGTAGAAAGCTGTTATAGATCAGGGGAAAAGATTGGTGGAATCTCAGCATTGGACATCGGTAATGCAATACGTGTACGCAACATGGAATATCGTGAAACAAATATTGAAATGCGACAATGAGGAACTTTGCGACATGGCTAACAAATGTTTTAAATACTTGACACATTTCTGTCTCCAAGCTCTGAAAAGAGGGAATTTCACTAGACCTGTGATGGATATGTTCAGCGACAGGTATAACTAGAAAAAGGATCGTTAATTAGATATTTCGTCGATGCAGTAGCGGCTAAAGTAAAATATTTTTCAGGCTTCACGCGATGGTCACCGATTGTGAAGATATAAAGATATGTTTGCAGTTAATAAACGAGGCAAAACACAACTAAACTATAAGTATTTTCTTCTACAA